AGAATATGAGCGCCGTTCCCTTCGGCTGCATTTCCTTCCTGCAGTTCCCCCCTCCCTCCCTTTGCGGCGGGCACTGCTAACGCAACGAGTTCACTGCATCGACACCCGCTCCAGGTTCCGTAGTGGTCAACTCCTCGCTCTCTCGGGGGTTAGCCAGCAGCCACGTAACTTACTGGAAAGCCACCCGAAGCGAGTCAGCAGCAACACGAGCCGTGCGTGCAAAGGCGCACTGATCTGCAGCATCCCGCCGCTCCTCCCACATGTTCGGCATTACTGGAAGGGGCGGGGCCAGCTGAACCGAAGGGGAAAGGGACAGCGTGTGCCTCTCTCCTTCCAGCCAGTACTGGCACGGCCCAACTGCGGCCCGGCACGGAACGCGCGCCATTCCCCTGCTCTTGTGTACTTTAGGGCAAGCGGCTGGCTGGGATCGGACTAGCAATGCTGGCCCTTCGCCAGGTCGTGCCCCGCCCGTCTCCTGAAAAGCACGACCATTCGGGAAAAATCTTCGCTGGCTGCAAAGCCCATTGCTCCGAGCCCGGTTGAAGAGAGTGCCGCTCCGATCAGCAAGGAGGCCAGGCATGATCCATCTTTTCCCATCTTCCCACCCGCCTTTTGCACCCGCACGTCGTCAAGGGAGGCGAGGGGTGTTGCCCCTGCGTGCCCTCAAGCTTTTTCGCCCTAGCAGAGGCGTCCGTACCGGGGATTTAAACTGGGACACAAACGGCCAGGGAACCGCCCAGGTTCCGTTGCAAAGAGGCACTTGGGCGTCTATTGCGGTGAGATCAAAGGGAGACCGAGGCACGCAGTCCAAGCCGAGTCGGGGCAATAATGAAAAGAATGGACGATCCCTCCCCTCTGCGGGAGGGGGGGGGATTTGGAAGACCTGGATTTCTTTCCCAGGAATGCGTTTTATGATGACCGAAGGAAGTGCACAAAATCTTGCATTAGTATCTTATATGGGAACAGGTAAAAGTCGGCTCTAGATGAGATTAAACCGAACCTCACGAATTCATCTGATATTTATGTTGGAGCAGAATAAAACCAGCCTCATATTGTACATTATAGGCAGCATTACAAAATCAGCATTCAAAGCATGGATCCCCCGGATTTTTTCATGAAGACACTGGACTCACCACCAAACCACTCATATCCGTGGCCACTGACTGCACTACAGAAATCAGGGATCCACACCCTTTCATGCCTCCACCATGGCTCATAAATGTGGATCAAAAGCATGAAAACTAATGGATCCACAGGATTTTAAAGTTAGGTCATGCAAAACACACACCATCAAATCACTTATCACAGCTGTGGCCACAGAATGCAACACAAAATTCACAGACATGTTGCTTCATGGTACCGCAATGGCACAAAGACATGGACCCTCAGGATTTTTATGTGGGGTCACCCCAAACTCACCATCAATGTCCACCAGGGAAATCATGGATCCACCACTTTGTGGTGCTGCCCTGGCTCAAAAACATAAATCTTAAGCATCAGATTCTCATGGAGTCTAGGAATTTTATTTGGGCTCACCCAGACCTGATAATGAAATCACACATCACATCCATGACCTCACACTGAACCACAAAAAATATAGATTCTAGTGTTTGCAGCACTGCCATGGTGTAAACATTGCAGTAAATACTTGGATCCTCATGGAGAGGCAGTTTGGTGTCGTGGTTAGGAGCATGGACTCTAATCTGGGAGAACTGGGTTTGATTCCCCACTCCTCCACATGCAGCTGCTGGTGTGACCTTGGGTTAGTCATAAGTTCTTTAAGAGCTGTTCTCTCATGGGCAGTTCTCAGGAGAGCTCTTTCAGCCCTACCTACCTCATAGGGTCTCTGTTGTGGGGAGGGGAAGGGACTGTAAGCCGCTCTGAGACCCCTTTGGGTAGTGAAGGGCAGGGTATAATTTCCATATGGAAACAATAAAAGGCTAACATCTCCAAGGGGGAACCAGAGATTGTATTTAATTCCTCAAACTGTTAAGGCAAAATGGTGAAGCTTTGGAGGCTGTTTAGTATAGATGGGAAAATAAAGGTGAAAGTTTAGAATCCTTTTTTGTTTTGGTATCGCTAGCTAAGTCAATAGGAAATAGTTAACAGGGTGCAGAAATCAGAGGCATCTTAGAAAACAGGCAAGGAAGAAATTAAAGGAACAATGGCGGGTACGTTAGTTGTTGATAAAATGAATTTCTTTTGACGAAATATATTTTGTTGCCTGTAGGAATGGGAATTATCAGATGTTTCTGAGGAACACAGCATTAAGTTAAAAAGTAGGTGCAACCACCATTTAATCTGGTTTTAAGACGAGTGTGGAAAAGCAGTATTCTAGCAGTGCAAAAGGATACAAGAAGTATGTTAATCAGTTCTAAGGGCAAAATAGTCTTGTGTAACACAAGATAGCCAGAGGGACTTGCAGCAGGACAGCAGCTGTGAGCTCTTTGTGGGAGAAGCAAGACAGGGTGCCCATTTGGATCAGTACCACAGTGGAGAGGGATGAAGGGCTTCAGACTTCCCACTGTTTTATAATGATATTGTATCACAGTAGTGCTAAGAAATTGTGTGTTTTGTGGTACAGTTTGTAGACCTGGCTGTGATTTGTGATTTGGCGTTGAGTTTGGAGTACCCCACATAAAAATCCTGAGGATCCATGGTTTAGATCCATGTCTTTGTGCCACTGCAGTACCATGAAGCAATGCATCTGTGAATTTCTGTGGTGCATTCTATGGCTATGGACAGAAGTGATTTGATAGTGAGTTTTGCATGTCCTAACTTTAAAATCCTGTGTATCCATTAGTATCCATTCTTTGAATCCACATTGTGTGCCATGGTGGAAGTACAAAGGGGTAGATCCCTGATTTCTGTAGTGCAGGATATGATGAGTGATTTGGTGATGAGTTTGGGGTGACCCAATGCAAAAGTCCTCAGAATCCATGAGTATCTGTGCTTTGGAATGATGTCTTTGTGTATGATGGTGCCATGAAGCAGTGGATCCATGATTTTTGTAGTACACTCTGTGGTTATGAATATGACATGTGATTTGAGTTTGGGGTGGCTCAGTGGTTAAGACGCTGAACTGCAGACTGGAAGGTCGGTAGTTCAGCAGTTCTAAACCCGAGTGCCACATGACGGAGTGAGCTCCCGTCTCTGGTCCCAGCTCTTGCCATCCTAGCAGTTCAAAACCAAGAAATTGCAAGTAGATAAATAGGTACCGCTTTGGTGGGAAGGTAACAGCATTCCGTGCGCCTCGGTGTCTAGTCATGTCGGCCACATGACCATGGAAATGTCTTCGGTCAGCGCTGGCTCTTCAGCTTGGAAATGGAGATGAGCGCCACCCCCTAGAGCTGGATTCAACTGGCTTTTGAGCAAGGGAAACCTTTACCTTTTGGGGGTGACTCAATGCAAAAATTATGAGGATCTATGTTTCAGAACCGTGGTGGTGCCATGAAGCAGTGGATTTATGATTTTTGTGGTGCAATCTGTGGCTATGGAGATGACATGATTAGATGGTGACTTTGGGGTGACCCAATACAAAAATCTGAAGGATTCATGAGGATCCGTGCTTTGGAACCACATTTTTGCACCACTGCAGTGCCACAAAATGGTAGATGCATGATTTTTGTGGTGCTGCCTACAGACTGATGCTGTAGTCTACAGTATGATGTTGGGTTTATTTTGTTTCAATGTAACAATCATATGAATTCCTGAGGACCCATGCCTCGGATCCATGTTTTGTGCCATTGCAGTGCTGTGAGAAGTTTTGGATCTGGGTTTTTGTTTTGTTTTAATGGATCAGTCCATGTTCTTCGGTTTGACATGTGATCTGATACTGGATTTGGGGGAGTTCTGTTGAAAAAACTACAGGATCCACGTAGATCCCTCTTGTACTCCCCCTCCATCTTACTTAGGGCACACAAGCAAACTCAGAAAATCCGTGAGGCCCAGTTATCACGACCCCTTCCCCAAGGCGCTGGATAATAATTTGTGGCTTTTGTTATTGTTTAGTGAAAGGTAACAACGAATCAACGCGGAACTAAGCACTAAAATCCCCCCAAAAAACTGGGCACCATTCTCACCACCGTTGCAAAAGGACGCCCCTAAGTCCCACGGCCGCCACCTGTCTGAATAATTCCTTACCAAAAAACTGGGCACCATTCTCACCACCACCGTTGCAAAAGGACGCCTCTAAGTCCCACGGCCGCCACCTCTCTGAATAATTCATGACAGCTCACCCAAAGCAGACTTTCCGCGAATTCTCTTTACCAAAACAATGCATCAGAGAAGAAAGACTTCTCTCGCGTCCCTCTCCCTTTCTCCCTTCCTGGGCCGCTTGACTTCGAACCTCAATCCTCCATTTCCTTCACAAACGCCACATATAGAAGATCCGAACGCAGCTCCTCCGAACCACCGAGTCCTCCTCGCTCGTCTCCACCCCACCACTCTTTCTTTCCTCCTGATCCGATTTCCTCTGCAGCGATCTGTTCGATCTCTCGCGGACTAGCAGGGAATCCCTCTCTGAGCGCGTCATCCTAACCAAGGAAACCCGCGCTCGCGTAGTACCACGCAAATGACCATCTTTGGCAACGGCGACTTGCGACAATGGAACAGACTAAACCCAGACGTAGGAGGGGGGGAGAGAGAGAGGAAAGGAGGCGGTCTGGACCTCGGAAATCGAGCCCATCTAACGCCCTGGCCGGCCTGTCCTTCCGCGGCAGAGGGGAATGGCTGTGAGAGAGGCTGCCAGTCTTCTGCCTGGGGTTGGCTGCGCTGGGTTTACTGGGCAGGGTGATCCTGGCCGCCACCGACGCCTCCTCTTCCTCGTTTGCCAGGTGGGAGGTTCCGCGGTGCGAGGCGGGGTGTGGCCAAGTGCAAGCTTGACGTTTGCGAATCCACATGGTACAGATTTTTTTTTTCCTCCAGAGGCAGATGGAATAATAAGAACCGTGGATTTGAACTAATGCCATTGCACTGACTCATCCAGGGGGAGTAAAGGAGCTCAGAGAACAGGATACATAGGCGCTCAGCAGAAAGAAAAAGAGAAGGGGGGCGTGTAACAAGGAGGGGAAACGAGATCGCTTTCGTGACAGAGAAGGTCCAGCATCAAGGGTTAAAAGATCATTAATTAAGAGGCACATTTTAAACGGCAACAATAAACAAACAAGGATCCTCAGATCCTGGGCTGAATCATCCCGTCCAGTTAGACCAGGAAGCTGGCACTTTTCTGAAGGGCTTAATTACACAGGAGGCGAAGAGCCTCCTGACTTCAAAACTACAGTGCCACCGAGGCTTGGAAAGCAGAAGAGAGATCCACAGGAAGTTGGAAGGAAGGCGATCAGACGCGTCAACTCTGGGGGCTTTCTCCCCTGTAGAGGATTAAAGTCGCGTTTGGAAAGGGAAGGATTTTTTTTCCCTCCCCCCAATTAGTCTATCGCCGATTTAATGAACAAAACCAACTTTTAATTTTCATCCGAGGCTCAATGATTTGGCTCTAGAGGGAGTGTATTCCCCCCCCCCATATACTAGAGAGGGATTGGGGGGATTGTTTTTAATTCTCACAGTCCGGTATCTCAAGGAAAAAGAAGGTCCAGGAAGGGACTGCGTTTTCCATTGCTTGAAAGGGCACCCTCCAAACGCAACTATCTCCGCTGAGTGTCTTTGGAAAATCCTAAAGCAGCAAAGTTAATAAAAGATCGGAGGCGAGAAAGACAGAGAGGGGCAGACAAAAGGGGAGCGTGCGCTCGGAAGGTGTTTGGTGTTTTTTTTTTTTTAAAGTTTATTTCCCTCCTGCTCCCACCTCGGATCATGTACCAGGACTTTCCAGGGAACTTTGATACCTCCTCTCGGGGCAGCAGTGGTTCTCCTGGCCACCCGGAAACGTACTCCAGCGTGACACCTCAACAGGTAGGGGCGATCACAGGCTTTTCTGCCACCAGCCAAGTTTTGGAGTTGCTCTTGTTTCCCTTTCCTTCTTAAAAATACTCGTGGTCTTTGGATCCTCTGTGCGCTTTATTTATTTATTTTTATTTTCTGTCTCGAACTACAGCTCGGGTGACTGGATTTTTATTGGGCAGTATTTCTGGGTTTGGGATGGTTTATCTAGGAACGGGGCTCCCACTGTCCTCCTTTTGTTCTCCCCCAGCCCCGGGGTCTCGATAGCCCCCGTTCCCAGCGCCCTGCAATTATTCGAAGCCAGCAGTAACCTGTCCTCCTTCCCTCCCTCCCTGCCTGCCTGCCCCCCTGGCGGCTCCGTGCCTTCCAGCACTCCTTAATCAAATAGTAAAGTTCACTAACCACACCCAGTCCACCTCCTGCGAGTGCGCTCAAACCTCTCCCTCGCGCGGGAGATTAGGGGGAAGAGGAATAGGGTGGCGCGTCTCCTTTGGCCTCCAGTCCAACAGCCGTCCTTCTACGCTACACCTTAAAAGGAGGCGGAAGCGCCGGCTGCCTGTGCGAGAGCTTGGGCGGTTTGGGGTGAGCGCGGAGAGGACGCGAGTGTGAAGTTCGGGCGAGAGCCGGGGTTTGCCAGGGTAGAGAAAAGGCGGCGAGTGAGGGAGTGGGAGCCGCCGCCGAGGCTCCGTCGCGAAGTAAGTGGGACCGAGTTCTTCTTCTCTTGGGAAAGGGCTGAGTCTATGGAAAATAGCCGGTCTGGAAGGGTCTGGGGCGAACGGCGCGCTTGGCAAAACCCACCCTTGGTGCCTGCGTGACCGTTCTGGGGCTGTTGTTGTCTTCGCGGGTTGTGCTGGCCTCTGGTGGATTGAAATTGGGGCCGGAGAGGGGAAAAAAAAGGGGGGGGGAGACCCAGTTCAATCGTGGGGCTGGTTATGCTGTTTATTGCCGGGCACTGCCAGAGAGCAGGATTCATCGTTGCCTGGTGGTAGTTCAGACACTTCACCCTGAATATCTGTTTTGCGCCTCAAGGGACGCCTGGAAGGAGTGCCAGGATGCAGAGTTCCTTACACGTGTTCTCCCAAACCGAAATAGGAGCACCAGGCTTATGCGCTTAGCCAGGCTCTACGGGCAGAATAGTCTCTGTCTCTCTCAACATTCCCCCCCCCCCCCCAGTATGAAGGGGTGTAGGGGGGGGAAGCCGTGCATAGTCGCTGAAAGGAAACGACAGATCTTGAGTGCTTAATGTTGAGATTTCCACTGGGCTAGAAACAATATATATTTTAAAAAGCAAAAACAAAACTGGTCTCCCTTTTCGGAACGTTGCCTGCCCGTCGAAAAGCAAAACATTCCAATGTGGAGGTGCTGTAGGGGCGGGGAAGAAGTTTAAGCTGTAAACCTAGAAGTAATTATCCTGCACTGCAGTCCTCAAACAGTTTATATCCTTTTACAGCAATGGGATTATAGAGAAGTGATGAGCTCATGAACGGTGGTGCTGTCGTTCAGATCATCCATATAGTTGCTTGGATTTACTCTTTACATTTCTGACGATGGTGGATTTGGATTTTGTGGAATTTCATATGGGACATCTGTCTTTGGACTGTACCCAATTATTAATGGGATTCTGCCCCCCTGAGCTCGCCATGGTGACTGGCTCACACCCTCTCACATGACTTATGGACACCAGAATGCCTTTTACATGCCACTTAGATGCTTTGTGTTGGCTTTTGTAGAATCAAAATCATAACTATACTTCCTTGGCCTTTCTCGATGCAGGCAGATTGTGTAGGTCACCTAAGGGAGGCTCGGGGAGATACTAGTTGAATTCTTTTTGTACCTCATGTACCTGTCTGAGTGGATGTGCTTTCTCTTACAATTGTTTTAATTGTAAACATTGAGCTAAAAAAATACTTCTCATTCCTTCAAAAAAATACTTCTCATTCCTTCAAACTTCCTGTTGTTTCCCCTTCCTTAATTCCTTATCTCCTTATTAGAGATATGCAAATGTATAAACATGGCAGATGGGCTGATGAAAGGAAACACCGTCCTAACTTCTTTGGGCATGGTCCCAGACTGATATGCATTTATGTGCATTCCCAGGAACAAGCTGTTTGGATGCCGGGCTCCTATGAACCCAACTAAACTGGGTTTGTGTTTTAATCATATCTTTGAGGCTTGACGAAAGATTGTGCATGTGAATTTAAAGACTCCTTCAAGAGACTAGGCTGCATTAAAAAGTCCAAAGAAGCAGGGCCACTGGCAGAGTGAGGGCCAGATCCACACCAGTTTTATAGACTTGAGTTGTAGTGTTTTTTGTGAGACCTCTGTGCAAATATAGAAAAACTAATAGTGTTGTTTAGTATGGCTTCACAAAATCCTTTTCAAATAACTGCAGTCTATTTTCATTGCATGGGATTCTAGGGGAGGGGTGAGAGTGTCTAAAATGTGTGGGTATATCAAATTAAGCCCAAATGTCACAGGAGATCTTTGTATAAATGTACTTAATTTGTTAACTTTTCTTTGCAACACTTGGATGGTTTTCTTTTCTTTCTCTCTGTTTGTCTCTCTCTTTTGTCTAAGCTGGTTTCCTGAAGAAGAAGGAAAGACACAGACCTCTGAAAAATGTAAAAATATATGGAGCAAGCCACTAGAATCTTTGTGGACATTTGGTTCAGGTCCATCTCACACAAGGGCACAGAGAAGTATTGCTTCCCCTTCAGCCCTGTGCTTTTAAATATTTAAATCTTTTGAATGTTCTGTTTCAATCAAATATATTTTTTTAAAATCATGACAGTTTTAAAATAATGGACCATACAGTTCTCTGGAGGCATTGGCAACTTTTTTTTTGCTCTCTTATGAAGCAGTTTGGCTCCCTACCTTGTACCAGTGTGCTAGGCCTGTCAAATCTTTTTGCAGTGATTTCCAAAAACACCCAGGTTTGTTTTGCTTTCTGAATCTTTACCAGAAACCATGCATGTTTCCAGAATTGTTTAATTATCATGATGGTTAGAAATGTTCACATTTAAAAAAGAAGAAGCAGATGAAGAAGCTGTAAAATGCCAGATTATGAAGTACATAAACATCAGCACTTACTCTGGAAGAACATTTAACTAAAATCATTGGGACATCTTTCCAAGGAGCAGGTTTAGGACTACAGAGTATGTTGGCCTGATTCTCTCAGCTCATCCTGACCCAAACTAACAATATTTAAAATATAAAATAAGATAGCTATTTGGACAGGTAGCTCAGAATCCAGATAAAGATATATATGGGCCTGTTCAGATTTCTGCCACTCTGGTCGCCCACTTTTATATTTTTCAGGACAAACTTTCTATTTTGTTGTCAATGTTCTTTGTAAAATCCAGCTATGAATTCATCCTTATCCACAACAAGTTTCCATTTTTCAATAGCTATTCTTGGCTTGGGTTGGAGATGACATATTTCTATGTCAAAAATATGTTTCAAAATGTCAAAGAATGAGCTTAAAAACAGCCTTTAAATGAACATCGCATAAGCACTTAGCTAATTCTGAGGGTGCTGCTACACAAAAGGGTTTAATAATGAGTAGTAGCATAAACATAGTGCTATGTTAGCTTCTGACTGCCATTAGTTTACAGATGCCCTGCAAAAAATGGACTCTTAGGTTAATCCCAGTATTCTGTTTTTCAAGAAATTATGATGAAACCATCTGTAAAAATCTTTTTTCTCTCTCTTGCTTTTTTACCCCATCCCCATTATTTTTCCTTGAATTCTTTTCTTTCCTATTCTGAATTCACCACTGTTTCATCAGCTATACAAAAGCATAATGATTTCTGCTCCATGGTGGTGTTTAAGAACTATGATCATCTTCGTGATGACATAACCAGTATCTTTTTAAATTCAGGTGGGGTAGCCGTGTTGGTCCGAAGCAGCAGAACAGCGTTTGAGTCCAGTGGCACCTTTAAGACTAACAGGCATTTACATTGAGTTTTTAATAGTATCTGTCCAAGAAGATGGAATGTATTGTTTCCCTTAGTGGCTTACATCTTCACGCAAAGCTGGGGAGAGATATTTTATTGCTTTCCTTTGGTATTCGGACATTCCTTGGCTGACTAAAGGGAGGTTGTTGGTATTTATTGTTGATTAGTTTTGACCTTCAGAATGCAAATTCTTACAGGCCTTGTGCGATTTGACTGCATTTTTGTGATAGCTCTTATGGTCAGCGTCTAGTCTTGAAGGATGTCGGAACTTGAAGAATGAGAAATATTTCCTGTTGAAACTGAAATACACGAAATCCAGGAGGCTACTTGCTTCCCTCCCCTTGGTCTACATTTTTCTTAGGACTTTTTGGAGGTATCTTCTTAATGTGCCAGCATAAGCAAAACCCATGGCTTCTGGAGAAGACATTGCACAACCTCATTAGTTACACAAACGTATATTTCATAACTTGTTTACATCAGCTGGCCTTGCTTCGCTTCCCTCCCCCCCGCAACTTTCTTACCACATGTGTAAAGTGTGTAGAATGTAAGGTGAGGCACTCAAAACTTTTTTTTCATATCAAGTACCTTTAAGGTTTTAAAAAAAACCCAAAATAAAACTTTCCTGTATAAAACTTTGCAAGTGATGCCAGTCTGTGACATTCTCACACATCAAAGACCTTTTCTTACCAGAAATGACTCTCACGGTGTCCAAGTCCTCACCAAAGATATATCTTTGGTGCCCTCTGTAGGCTATGGAAAGATTGCCAGAGATCATACACAATGGAAAGGAATTATTTGCTCACTTACAGTAAACTTGGGGAATCTTGCAGGGGCTGGGTGGAGCAAGATTTTCAAAGGCTTGCATTGTTTGGTGCCTCTTGTTGCAATCCATGGGTCGCTAAAGGGACTGCTATTAAATATGTGTTCCTAATTTTTCCAATTTGGCAAGTTTTTGTTTAGATTTTCAGTTTTTCTTGTAAGCCTTTTCCTGTGCCATCCAATGGCGCCTTTAAGACCAACAAAGTCCCCCCCACCCCGCCGGGTATAAGCTTTCAT